GGGCCCTTTGGGTTGGACTTGTTTGTTTTTACGGAAAGTAGGAAGGAGTCTTATTTTGCTAATGGAGGTTATAAAATGCAGGGCCCGGGAAGAGCCTTGGGGCTGCATGGAAACGGTGAAGCTGGGCATAGCAGCGTGTACCTCCCATCCTAGCACTCCGAGAGGCTGAGGTATTGGGGTCACAAGTTCATGCCCACCCTGGGTGACTTAGCGAGACCCTTTCCCCAAAACAGCTGGATCTCGTCCTGAAGGCCCTGGGTTCAATCCCCAATGCTGCAAAAAACAAAACAAAACACAAAACACTCACGCGAGCAGGCGACGGACCCTCAGCAGTGCCCAGGCTCAGACTCTGACCTCACTGGCAAGCGAGACTTGTCATGAGGCAGATCCTGCAGCCTGGTGCTGGCCTGGGCCTGGCATGCGATGGGCTGCATCTTAGCTACACCCGGGCCTCTCAGCTTGGGACTCCTTGTCTGCCACTGAGGGCACAGGCACGAGGCATCCCAGCAAGCACCTGGCACCTGTGCTGGGTCCCCCAACGCCCCTGGCAGGGCGTGGCCCGAGAGATGCTGGTCTTTTCCTTTCCCACAGGAGGGGTTAGGACGGGGACCCCAGCTCTTGAGTGGCTCTCCTCAAGGACAAGGGGTTTCCAGAAACAGCAAATCCCAGCACCCCAGCCCGTTCCCAACGCAGTCATCAGTGCTTGTGCAGGACCCCATGGCTCACCTTCCACCCCTTCCCCATCGCTGGCTCATGCCCCTCTCCCACAGCCCCAGGGACCAGGACCCGATGGGCTCATTCCAGGTGCAAGACCTGGGCCTGCCCTTCCTTACTGGGAACACTTCCCCCACGACCACAGCCCTCTCCCTCATTGAAGTCCCAGTCCAAACGCCACCTTCTGCCAGGAGCTTTCTGATTATTAATCCAGATTATTCCCGGCCATCACCTGTCCAGCATGCCCCTCACATCCCCGATTTATTCTCTTTTCAGTGCACTGCGTCAGGTTCAAGAAATGCATCCCCTGCCTCCTGAAAGTACCAAGCAAGTCGGAAAGTCAGTAAAGCTCAGTGTTGAGAGAAAAGAGCCGACACGCTGGACAAGGGACGCGAGGGTTTTGATGCAGGAAGCAGGCAACGAGGACAGAGTGTGCTGTTTCCGAGAATGATGGCATGAGGACAAGCGAAGGCCCTTGGGACGAACAGATCTTCCCATGGCAGATGGAGGCCATGGCTCAGAGGAGCATAAAGGGGCCGAGACACAGGAGATGCCTCCAGACAGACGGCACCGGCTGTCTACTTCCCTACCCCACAGCAGACCGTGCACGCTGGTCTCCCACCCACACAGTTGTCCCTGGATGTGGCCGGGTCTGACTGATCTTGCACCACCCCATATGCAGCCCAGGATATGGCATGGGCCAGCCAAGCCTCCTGTTCATGAAGTGCTGCAAAATCACGGCATCAGTGGAAATGCCCCAAACGCCGGAGGACCCACCCAGTGCTCCTCTTCAGGTTCCACTGCTGACTCCTGACATCCTGGGTTCAGAGTTCCTGCTGTGTCGCTAATTCCCTGATGTCTGCTCTCCCTGGACCTGCTGGGATGCGAAAGCTCTGGAAGACGAATTTCCTCTTTAAACACTGTGCCTGCAATTTCAGGGCCTGCCATCAGGTGGCAGGATTACCCAAACCTGGGAACTGGTTGCGCGAAGATTGCGCGTCCTGTGCAGACTGACTTGACACAAGCTCTGTGCAATCATGAATTTTTAAATTTATTATGTTGAAATAAGTTAAAAATACGGTGATGGCCACAGCTGGCCAAGGCTTGGAGAAGTGCGGCACATTCACACGCTATTGGTGGGAATGCAAATTAGCGGTGCCTCACATGCTTATGGAAGGCCTTCCCCCTGCAAACCTCACTGGGCAGCAGTGCGCTGTCCTGGCATTTATTCAAAGGCCACATTTATCCCCAGGCTGTCGACCAGAACGGGGGGGGGGATTGTCAGTATAAAGACCATAACTTGGAGGCTGGCGACATAAATAAATTAGACGCATGAATAACTACTATGCGCATAGCCATCGCACTGTACAAGAATGTTTTTTCTTTTTTGGTCCTGGGGGATGAACCCAGGGCCTCTTCACTGAGCTCCACCCCAGTCCTGCTTTTTGTTTTTAACGCTGAGGCAGCATCTTGTTAAGCCACTAAGCTGCCCCTGCTGGGCCTGAACTTGCAGCCCTCCTGCCTCAGCCTCCTGGAGTGCTGGAATCCCAGACATGCACCGCCTTGCTTGGCTCTGTAGGAGGATTTTCATGATACATCAAGGAGACAGGCGACAAGAGAGCAAGTCCCTGTCATCTTGTCTTTATGCCAATAAACATAAAAACAAACTCTCCTGGAAGGAATGCTGGAGTGACAGCCCCCCAAATACCAAGAAGCCGGGGCTCAGCGTGTGGCTCAGTGGCAGAGCTGAGGCTGCACCCTAGCACCTGAAAAGTAAACCAGTGCCGGGAGGATGCGTCCGTGGGTACCGGCGGGGTGACTGATTTCCCCATTTCTGTGTCTCTGTCTCCACTTTCCAGGGCTTTGCTGGATGTGCCTTTACTGCACCCAGAAACACGAGGCTGACCCACACCCCGGGGGCAGGACAGGCAGCTCCTGTTCTGGGGGGAAGTGGACAAGGTGATGCCGGGCCCTGGCAGCCCCAGCCACGGCGCCGTGGCCTGGCCCACAGATGTGGGTGGCCCTGTCCCCACCGAGGCTGCCAGCACACATGTGGGCCTGGTTTCGGCTGCAGGGGCCCCGGTCTCCAGCGCCACCCTCAGCCTGTTCTCTCCCTCTCTCTGTCCCTTAGGAAGCAGCAAGGATCTGGCACAAAGAGAAAGAAAAACCTTCTCTGAGGCCGGGCCTGAAATTCACTAGGCTGCCAAAAACAAAACATCAAAACCAATGAAACAAAGGCAAAAATAAAAAATCCCCAAAGCCAAACCGCTGCCACCGAGAAAACCTTTCCTTGTAACTGGCGCTCCCAAAGCTGTCACCCTTTAAACACTGGGGAGGTTCACTGGGTGTATCGGAGCGAACCCTCCCAGTTTCATCTGGGGCTGGGGCTGTCGCTCGTGGGTGGAATATTTTCCTTAACCACTGTATTCACGCAGACTGCAGCCATCTCTGGGTGCACGAGTACGGTGTGGGGCTGCGTGCCCTCCTGCCCTCTCTGCGTCTCTTGGGCTTTCGATGGACAGGAAGGTCAGCTGTTGACCAGATTCAGGGCTCTGTGAGTCACCTGTCCCTCTGCCCAGCTGAGCCCATGGGAGCCCTCTGCACACACGGTGCCTCCGGGCACCCTGGGCTCCCCTGCACTTGGTGATCACCCCAACTCCTAAGACGCTGCCTGCTCTCCAGAGGCTAAGAGAGAGGACTCTCAGATCAACACACAGGCCCAGGGGCCAGGGAAGCCCACGCCCTCCCTGCTGCTTTCTCTCCCTGACCCCACAGGTCTCACTCAAGGGACAGGGTGTGTGGCAGAGCTGGGTGCTGGGGGCACGCGGGGCGAGCAGGCCTGAGGGACGCTGGGCTCCCAGCAGCCGGCCGAGTCGCAGGTGTTCTGTGCCTTGTTTCAGTCCACCCCGGCCATCTGAGGAAGGGGCTTCATTTTTTATCCTTTGTTACCAGCAGGAAGCCCCGGCTCCCAACACTGGGGCTCCCAGGGCTGCACCACTAGGGGGCAGCAGAGACAGGTTCCAGTCCTGGCAGTGCAGCGCCCCCCCACAGCCTTCTGCCTGCTGTCACCTATCACCGGAGCTGCCAGCCACTTGTGCCAGCCTCGTGTCCTGGGGGGGGGGGGAGGACCAGCAGGCAGGCAGGCAGATGGCAGAGGGAAAAGAGCGGGCAGCAGCCCCAGCCCCTCGCCCAGGAGACTCAGTGCCCTTAGCCACAGCCTCGCAGGGCTCCTGCCCACCCAAGGGTGGAGGGGCACCCGCTACCCTCCCTGCTCCCCTCCTGCTCCCCTCGGGAAGCATGTCCTCGGGCTGTGGAAGAGACGGCACTTCAGTTTCCTACTGGGGCCTTTCACTGGGCCAGCAACACGTGGCCTGATCCCTCTTATCACACTGGGGTCACCCCGAGATCGCTGACTATGAGGGGAGCCCTGATCGTGTGCTGTGTGGCTGACCGGGCACGTGCTGCAGGTTAGGTGTGTGGGATGCATTTTCTGATGATTCACACGTGCGATGCAGTCATGCCATACACGCTGCAGAGAAGCCACAGGACAGTGTTCCTGGGCCCCCCGCTGGCCTCAGTTTGTCTTCTGGTCAGGAAAGTGGAGGCCTGAGCAAGGCCAGGTACTCCAGCAGACGCCCACTTCCCCAGACCCTGGCAGCAGTGGGGGGAAACGGGGAGCCTGACCCCCCGGCAGGAAGAGGAAGAGGAGGAGGCAGTGTGGGCATGTGAGCAGCCCCTGGTCTGGGTGTCCCGGTGGGACACGGGACCGCGGCTGTCTCCCTGCTTGGGGCCTCCCTCACACAGAGCTGCAGCGCACATCTGTCCCTGGCCTGGCCCGCCGAGCCCCCGTGCTCGTGATGCCATGGCCAGGGCTTTGCCCCCTGCAGGGCCCCACATCCCTCCTACCTCAGGCCTGGGTGACACTCAGCCTGGGCTGGGGACATACTCTCCAAGTGCCAGCTGACTTTGGGCTCAACTCTGACAGATCTGAGGGGTGCCTGTGCTGATATCGCCGGGGGCCAGCCGGAGAGGACACGGCGGGGGCCAGGGCAGGAGGCCCGGCCGGGTAGTGGGACGGGGGCTGACAGCTAGGCTGGGAGGGGCATCGAGGCTGGACCCACCACCCCCAAGATACCCAGGGCAGCCCCTGAACCCCCCAGCTGGTGCAGGAGACGCAGCCATAGAGCAGAGCAGGAGGAGACAGGAGCCAGGTGGCTCGTGAGGGGCGGAGAGCAGTTTGAGAGGAAAAGGACGAAGGAGAGAGCAAAAAATAAATGACAAATTACCGGGTAGCCATCTCGTCCCGATTGCCCCTGTGGTGATTAACATGGCGTTAATAATCGGACTTTCGGCAGAAAACCACATGGCAATACTTAGACCTGGGCCGGCCGCGTGAGTCCCCTGCCGTGCTCCTGGTGAGGGGAGGACACGGGGGCTCCCGCAGGCCTGGGACAGAGCAGGTCTCTGCTCCCCAGAGGGCCAGGCGGAGGGGCTGTGGGCCTGCTCGGGGCATGGGGTTCACCACCGAGCCAGGAACCCAAAGCTCTCTAGGTCACGCTCACAGAGCCCTGAGACACACTCGCTGCCTCCCTCTCGGGGTCTCCGGTGGGGGCCCGGGGCGCACTGACTGCTCTGGGTGTGGTTCTGTGTCCGGCACAAGACCGGGCCTATGGCCAGCAGCTGTCACCCCTCAGGCTCCTTGCAGTTTGCAGCTGGAGGATTTCTGCATTTGTTTAAAGCATCCAATACTTTAAACAACCAAAAAATGTTTACAAAGTCTCGGGGCAGCCCTTGGGCTCTGCATGTCCGCCCCGCAGGACACCTGGGGTCTGCTCCACAAGGAGACGCCGCTGTGGCCAGGACCCCTATGGTCTTGTTGGCCTGGGCTTTTGGGGGCTCCGAAGGGTGCTGATGGGGTCTGAGGAACCAACCCCAGGAAGGATCAGAGGCAGGCACTCCCAGGCCCCAGGAGTTCCCAGGCCTCTGACACTGGAGCTGTGCTGGCGGCCACAGAGCGCTCCGGCCCCTCCAACTTCCTATACAGGGGATCAGAGCCCGGGCCTTGAGCATGCTGGGCAAGCGCCCACCACTGAGATAGTTTTCTGGCCCTTCAAAAATTTTCAGAGACTCAAAAATTTGAGAGACCCAGCAGGGACCCCGAGAGGCAGCGAATGTGTCTCAGGGCTCCGCACCTGGCCTAGAGAGCCCAGGCTGTTTGGTTTGGAACTCATGTACCTCCTGCCTCAGCCTCCCAAGTAGCTGGGACTACAGGTGTGCGCCACCGTGCCTGGCCACCTGCGGAAGCCATCTCCAACGCTTCCCCAGGTCAGCAAGGGCTAACCCAGGGCCTAGACCCCTCCGGCAAGGAAGGAGAGCGACCCCAGACGGTGCGCATGCCTGGCTCTCCTGCCCAGTGGCTGGGCTTGGTCCCCTCTGCCAGCTCAGGTCCTGGGAAGCAGGGGCACGGGTGTACATTTCAGAGTGAGCCTGAGCCTGGAAGGGGCGGGTCGGCCGGGGCCAGCTCCGTGGGAAGGAAACTAGCTACGCTGTCTCGGTCTGCAGCCACCTGTCACAAGGAGACTTGTGACACAGCCTCTGACCTCTGGCAGCACGGGGTGCTCAGAGGTGTTTTCTCTCTCTCCTTCCCTGCAGTGCTGGGGGCCGAACCCAGAGCCCCAGGCACTGTAGGCAAGTGTGCTATCCCCCGGGCAGGGCCTCCCTTCCTCCTCCCTTCCTCCCCCCTCCTTTCCTTCCTTCTTTCCTAAAACAATGCGCCTCTCCAACCAAAAATTATTCTCATGGGAGAGCAACAGAGAGGGACCCACGGAAGCGTCTTATCTTTCAGGAGCAGCACGCAGTGCGGGACACTTACTGGAGGACCTGCAAGACACAAGCAGAGAAGCCACGTCAGGGAGCAGGCGGGAGGGTCCCTGTCCTGGGCGCCACTCCAGCACAGCTCCCGTATCTCTCCGCGCCTCGCCTCGGGCGGCGACGGGGCCATGCGCGGACCTTTGGGCTGGAAACGGAAGTTCTAACACCCAAGGGTGGCATGTGGGGGCCTGGGGTCTCCGCAGGCCTAGACAGGGGGCCGAGCAGGGTGTGGGCAGCACTGACATGGACTCTTCCTCGAAGCTGGTGACCTCGTTTCTCGCTTTACAAAGGGAAAGCTGTGGTTAGACTATCTCACCTTCTTCTTTCTTTTTCCAGTGTATTGGGGATTGAACCCAGGGCTTTCATACTGAGCTACATTCTCATCCCTTAAAAATTAAAAAAAAATCTTTTCCTTTGCTAAATTTTTTTATGTTAAAAAAATTTGAGACAGGGTTTCACCAAGCCACTAAGTTTCCAGGTTGGGCTTCAGCTTGGGATCCTCCTGCCTCAGCCTCCCAGAGTGCCGGGGGATTAGAACCATGCCCTCCTGTCCGAGACCTTCAGGTCAATTTGGAGGAACTGGTCCACTTCCACTTACAGCCAGCCGCCCTCTCTGCCCCCGGGAGCCCTGCCTACCCAGGGCTCCTTCTTCGTCTGGCCCAGTTGAGCCTGCCCTCTCAGGCAGCGCTGAAACAGTCTAATGCCCTCCATGGACACCCCATTCTTTGGCACTCTCCCTCTGTTATGGTTTATATCTAAGTGTCCTCCAAATCCTCGAGTACTCCCAGGCGGGGCTTTGGGAGGTGACGAACCATGGGGATGTAGATGAGTCTGAGGACGGGTTCACAGGCATCTGTGGTGTTGGGAGGTGGACGCTGCTTGGAAGAGGTGGGCACGGCCTTGGCCTGTCTCCTTCCTTCCCCTTCATCTCATTGCTTCCTGCCTGCCCCACCATGGACTCTTCCTCCTGTGCCTGCCACCCTGCCTTGGAGCCAGCTGACTGCACTGAAACCTCCACAGACTGTGAGCTGAACAAACCGCTCCCTCCTTAACTTTCAGGCGTTGGATACTGTGTCTCAGAGGAGAGAAATTAACAAGACACTTCCTCACTGGGCCTGCCCCTGGCCTCCCCCAGCCGCCAGGTTGCTTCCCAGAGGTGTCACCCTCTCTGAAGTTGCTCATCCACCACTTCCCTGGGACCCCGAATCCGGATCCCGCCCTCCTCCCCATGCAGCTCACTCAGGATGCCCAGCGACCCGGCCCGGGCTGACAACCCAGCACCCCACCTCCCAGAGTACTCTCTCCAGCCTCTGGCTGAGTTCTGAGGTGCTCTCTCCAGGGGCTTCGCACGTGCCCACCTGCCTCCCTGGCCTTTCGTCTTACTGGGTCCCCTCTGCCCCACTGACTCAGGCTGTTTCCTGAGGGCGCAGGGCTGGACAGTCCTCTCCTCAGCCCTCTGCCCGCTCACCTCTCCTGTGTCCCCCAAGGACTCCCCCCTTGCTTCCCTCTCAGGATGCCCAGTGTGCATTGCCACCCCGCACCAGGCCGCTGCACCCCGACTCCCCAGGAGCTGCCTGCCACGTTTCCTCTAGAGTGAGTCAGAGTTCCTGCAAGGGACAGCACAGCGGTCCTCAGCCCTCTCCCTGCTCTGCTCCCTCGGCTCCGGTCTTCAAAGGGCATCACCACCCACCTGGTTGGCCCGGCTTTCCCTCCCTAACCCATCCTTGCAAGGACTGTTCCTCCTCCTCTGCCTTTCCTGTGAGATGGGGTCTTGTTACGATGCTCAGACTGGCCTGGAACTCCTGGGCTCAAGCGATCCTCCTGCCTCACCTCCAGAGCAGCTGCCCTACGGGTGAGCATCACAGCTCCTTGTTCTGAGCTCCCCTCCACACTATGGCCTGAGTCCTGTGACGGCCAGGTCTGGCTGACCTCCTGCCCGGGTCCCAGAGGTGCCTACCGCTTGCTCCCTGCCCAGCGCCACCCCAGGCCCTGGGGTTCCCTGCTAAGACAGCACAGACCCTGTCCCAGCAGAACTCCCTTCCCAGCGAGAGTGGACTGGGAGAGCAATGTGAGAACCCAGGGCCCAGGAGGACAGCAGCGAGGGCCGGCTGTGGTGAGGATGTCCTGGGTCCTAGCATGGATACCGCAGCCCCAGCAGGCAGAGGCTGACTCGGGCGGGTGGGGGGTCCTGGGGGTCACAGATGGGGGCGTGGGGACAGGCAGCCCCTCCCACATGGAGGTCTGACTCTGCACAGTCGTCTGGGGCACCTGCAGGGACAGGGCCAGGTCACCTGCAGCCCCCGAGCCCAGGTCCTCGTTCAGTCCCGGCATGGCCCGCTTACTCTGTCTCCAGTGGGACGGAGCTGCCGACGGGGTTTATTTAATAAAACCAGCGCATTACTCAGGAAAACAATGGGAGACGTGTGTGTCCAGTTGGCGGCCCCCACCGGTGCTGGAACAGCGGCTCCTCCTCCCGTCCCAAGGTGGCGGCCTGAATGTGAGGGGCGCTCGGCTACCGCTGCTCCCAGGTCTGTCCTGGGTCTTGGTTTCCAGGTGTCGCGGTTGGCCCGGTTCTGCGGCCTCAGGGTCCACCCCGCCCCACGCGTTTCCTGCTGCTTTGTGCTTCTGGAAACCCCCTCTCCGAGGGCTGGTGGCTCCGAGTTTTATTTTCTCTCTCTTCTTCTGACTACACAGTCACTAGTGATCAGTTCTCAGTGCTCTGATTCTCCTGAAGGTTCAGATCTGTGGCTGAACTGAAGGATGCTGGGGTTCAGTCTACCTTTCTTCCTTTTTTGGGTGCTGGGAGGTTGAGCCCAGCATGTTGCACTGAGCAACCTTCCCAGCTCCCCTTGCCCCCATTTTTCGGGACAGGGTTTCACTGCGTCACAAGTGGCTCCGGCTGGGCTGGAACTTGTGTTGTGACCCTTCTGCCTCGACCTCCCAGAGTGCAGGAAGCACAGGCCTGTGCCACTGTGCCCAGACTCAGTTTCCCCCTGCGCTTCTGGTGTCAGAGCTAAGACACTCCTGCGCACTCGAGGCCATGAAGATTTACTCCTGCGTTTTTAACGTCTCTCACACTGAGGTCTGTGGTACTTTCTGAGTTGATTTTGTACGCGGCGTGAGGAACACCAGTTGGCTCAGCATCACTGAATTGCTCAGGAATTCTTGTTGAAAAAGAATTGCTGGTAAATGCCAAGGCTTGTTTCTGGGACCTGATTCTGTTTCACTGACCCGTAAGTCTGTCCTGTGCCTGTGTCTCGCTCTCCGGATTACTGCAGCCTCCACCATCTTAAAACCGGGAAGCTCGGCCTTGCCTACAGTTCTGGCTACTCGGGAGTCTGAGAACAGCTGGGCAACAGGACAAGGCCCTGCCTAACGACAGATAAACAAGTACAGTTTCAAAAGGAGCCAGGCGCAGTAGTGCACGCCTGTAATCCCAGCACTGGGGAGGCTGAG